GGGGGGGGCAGGGAAGAGAGCAGGGGGAAGGGGGTCCTGCCCTCTGTAGAAGCACCTGGGTTGAAGTATGCAATGGGATAACAGGGAGAGGGATGCTCTATTTCTGACTTTCATCTGTGGCCACAGAGCAAACTGCAGGCTCCACAGTGCCTTGTGGGGGCAAGACCTTTCAAACCCACGCTGAGCGCATTTCTGTGATTTAGTGTAGTTGGGCACGCTTGTATTATCGGAGCTACAGACATGCGCTGCACAATTCTCTGCTACTGCAGCAACTAAGGGGAGTAACAGGGGTCCCAGATACAGAGAAGAGATGCTGGAGAAGATGCACTTCTACACTTGGGTGTCTGTACATCCACAATATTGCTTCTCTCCCTGTTTATACAAAGAGAAATTCAGGATAACAGTCCCGTTCCCGTCAAACTACAGGAAAGTAGCAGGACAGCATTTGTATTTTCCCAGTCTGGTTCCAAATAACCTCTCCATATGCTATTTGCATTTCAATAGCTTTCCAAGCCTCTGGTAATTGTTGGTGGAGGAGGTGGGTAAAATGGCTATTATTATATTAGTGTTGGATCAGCTTTAGCAAGCCTGAAGGCATGAGAGAGTATCGTGCAGCTGATGCAACCCGTGACAGTGTATTGTTTGCCATTCTGTGTGAACCTGGGGTGTCCGCCGATGCCTGGGAGTTGATTCATAATTACAAAGAGATGAATGAATGCAGCTTTGAATGGGCAGGAAGGCAGCAGCTGTGCTGCGCTCTGAAGCTGTAGAGAAACAGGGCGGTATGAACCAGGAATGCATATTGGAATCATGCATCTGGCTAAACCCCCTGGCGTCCAAGGGTGCCATCCCTGTCTGGTCATGCCCAGCTGGAGCTGGGGCTGTGTGCAGCAGGCACAAGTTGTGTCTTTAAGGAGGCTGAGCCCAAGGCAGCTGGAAAGTCTGGGCCCAGGCCAGCAAGTGACTCAGCATCGCCTGACCTGTGCCCGGGAGCCAAGGCTATTCTTGGTTCAGGCCGTGTTTAAGGCAGCTGAGCTTAAATGCTTCCAAATTGCACCATAGAGGATGTGTTGTGAGGCAAGAGCCTCGAACATAGCAGGTTGTTTGGGGCCGCAGTGCTGTCTGCCCGTTGGATCAGTCCAAGCTCAATGGAGCTGTGACCTTTCCATTTTCTTCTCCTGAGCTAGATTAAAGCAGTAATCTATAAAGAGTGAAATAAAGAGTCATCAGAGAAACTCTCAGTAGAAAAATATACTTGCTTTCCATTATATTTTAACAGGTGTCATGTTCAGCTCTTCTTGCTGCCATTGAAAATCTGCTCCCTGGGCTTAGCACACTTTTTTCTAACTGAGCAAAAATATGTGAAGGGGAAATGATGATTGGGAAAGGTAATACTGGATCACACAAAATTCGGAATCTTTTTCTTCCTAAAACTATCAAAATAATTTAGCGGGCTCAGAACATGTAATCTGTTAGATCTCAGAGCTTCTCACAGGCACTAATCAATTGCCCTCAGTAAGTGATAGACCCATAAAAAGCATCAATTTAGCTACTACTGAAGTGCTGCTGTTTTAAAAGCAGAACGAGCTGTTGTAGCAATGCACAACCTTGCCACACAGTTATCTGGGATGGAAAATTAAAATACACAATTTAAAGCATGTAATTTCAGGGGCTGAACTATGTTTCAACCTTAGGCTATCTCCTGCCTAAGGTATTGTTTTATGGCACTATTTTCAAGTACAACAATTTTTAAGTAAATCATTTGCTAATTTGGGGGAACTTTTAAATTCATTAATGAAGCTAGAATATATTTGGCCAGATTTTGTAAGTGTCTTGTTTTCTAAAGTCTTGATTAAAGTTATGATCCAAGTGGTTCCTTAAAAAAAAAAAAAAAAAAAAAAAGAAAGAAAGAAAGAAAATAGAGAGAGAAAAAAAAAAAAAGGGGCAAGCAGTAGTAGTAGAGGAGCGCTACAAGCAGACGTCAGCCTGCACTACCCAGCAGCCCGCGGCTACAGGACTCGAGGGTATTCCCGACCTCTTCAGTCACAGCTGCATCACCATGCAGAAGGAAGGAGTAGGTTTTCCTGAGCAATGGGCTGGCGGGTCGCCATGCTGCCAGCTCTGGTCCTGTGCCAGAGCTGACATCCTGCAGACTTTTCTCCTCCAGTGCCAGCAGCTGAGCAGAAGGAAGTGGCTCCAGGACACGGTTCGCCCAGCTTGTGGCATTCTGTGCTGGATGCAGGGAGTTGCCTGGTGGAAGTCACAGCTGAGTAGAGCTCCCTGTAAACAGCCTTACCTGCTCCTCACTGCCTGCCAAGTGTTGAGTACTACTTGGTATAACCCTCTTCCCAGAGAGCCTCTGGTCTATTTTCCTTGCAGAACCAATGCATTGGGGAATATTTATACAAGGTAATTTTAAGTCTGTCAGTTCTCTGCCAACACTAGCTGTCTAGACTACTGCTATAATCAAAGGTGAGAGGTAGGTTCCTAATTACAGTTAATCACACCCACCCTAAAAGATCCCTTGTCTGTATGGAGAGTGCAGGCACCTTACATAGGTGATTAAAATGGGTTTGACTGTTCCCGGTTGTGTACTGCGTCTGCCAGGCGACTGCAAATGAATGCCTCACCTCGGGTAAGTCAAATGCTTCAGCAGCCCTCTTAAAGGAGAAATGTTAGTAGTACTCAGATGGAAATTAACTAGAGAGTGCATTTATTTTTGGCCAGTCCCCTGGGAGCACCTGCCAAGCATTTGCTCTCATTTCAAACCTGGTTGTTCCTGCTGAGAAAGTCTGGTGGAGATTCAAGTCTGGGTCAAGGTGAGTACCTGACTCTTCATTGGCTGTCTGTGCCATTTAAAAGGGAAAAAAGAAAGGAAGCTAAGCTGCAGACTGGGTGTGAGGAATGGTGTGCTCCTTCCTGCAGGAGCACACAAGAAATGAGAATAGGATTTCTTGGGTATGGTTTATGTAAAGATGAAATGCACCTGCTGGTACCCAAGCATCTCTGTACAGTTTTAGAATAAAAATGTTGAAATGTAAATTAAACAGGGAAAATTAATTCTGGCCTCATTCACTGCAGGATTACAGCCAATTGGTTAAACCAAAGGGTTTGTGTGCCTGTCTGAAACTGGAGTGAGCAGCAATCAGTGTGAAAGGTTTCTGAAAGTCATTAAAGCTGTTGACCAGGCTCTCCCCTTCTGTGGAAGCACGACTGGAGTGTACAAAGGGATGTGGCTCACAGGGTGCCAAACGGGAGCTGGCATGGCCAGGCTGTTCCTTTCCCACTTCCCAGCACTGTGTCTGGGAGCACTCTGGTCTGGACCCAGACTTTTTTTCAGAAATAACTGTGATCTTCAATGGAGGGATGCTGGGGCTTTGGGGTCAATTCACATCTCTTGCAAATGCCTTAGGATCTCATGTTTGTTCTCTGGATTCCTGAAAAGCCAACAAACCAACAAACCTGGTAATTTCTGTGGGTTGTTTTTGGTTTTTTTAATTTGGTTTGGTTTGTTTGTTTGTTTTTTAATCTCCACCAGGGATAGAAATTTCTGGCTGAGAATATGAGGCCTGAACCCCAAAAAAAACCAAAACAAACCAAAATATGTCTCAGGAAGTAGTGTAACTGCTCTGGCCAAGGTTTTTGTTTATTCTTAGCCGACTCCAAAGGTGTGCAGAATTCAAAAGGGGCTACAGA